CACATTTCTCTTATGGGGCGATGCAAGATTTTGTCTTTCCACCTCAGCTTGTGCAGATGTTTCATAAAGACACTTGAGTTCCACACACCATGAATATAATGCCACCATAAAAAGATACATTATATTCCACCTTGAAGAGGAGAAGTGGTGCAGCACTGCAGAGGGCACAAACAAACTGTATGAAATGCTGCCTGTTGTGATTTGGAAGAAGTTGGATTCATAAATCAGACGTTTTGACATGAAATAGTAAATAAACATGCGAATGCAGCGACTACTGATGACATTAATAACATTCACGTTCCCTTTAGGCACAGAACCTAATCTAATGTGATTAGTAGCAACCAACATATGAAAAGTCACTGTACTGAATACAGCTTTTTGTCCACTGCAGCCTTGTCTATGCTTTTCTGTGTTAGGATATCGACTTAGCTTCCAGTGTTTCATCTTCCTGCTGCTTCATCGATGTCCCTAGTCTGTCTGAGTCCATGTTTGTGTGTGTTTCTTTCTAAACTAAAGACCAAATGTCTGTGGACAAATTCTCTAATTGTGGACAAAAGTTGTGTCCCAATTAGGAGAAAAGTTAATTTTTTGGGCTGAATTTAGCTCAAGGTTAAGATTAGATTACTAGTGGTTGGGGTGAGGGTGAAGGTGGTCTCTGGGGAAATTAATGAAAGTCTATGGACTGCACTGTGTGTGTGTGTGTGTGTGTGTGTGTGTGTGTGTGTGTGTGTGTGTGTGTGTGTGTCCACCTGTGCTCCTGCAGCCTCTGCAGTATAGAACTCATTTTCATTCATCCACCTGATCTTTCAGTCATCAATGTGGTGCAGACATCTTGGCCAAGTTTTCTGCTCCTCGCTCGTTTGTTTTCTAGTTCAATGCTCCGTCTGCGCCTCAGGTTCACTGCACCTGCTCACCTCCACTTCCAGACTCATCCTCCTCTGCAATTACCAGCCTGCCACAGTCCATTCCGTCCGTCTGGGGAGGAGGAGCCTTGTCAATCTTACAGTCTATGATTAATTTCTAATTTCTATATATGTGACGACAGTCAAATCATAACCCTGACAACCTGAGCTCCTGGTGAAGCCATGGGACGTGGTTAGAAGCTCCAGGAGAAATCTTGTAAATCGACCTTGAGATGAGAGTTTTTACAGAAATACAGCAAAACACAATAACAGCACTATTCTTCACTCATTCACACTATATATGGAACACGAGATGGATGAGCAACTTCACTGTTGTCCTCTGACCAGGACATTGTCATTCACCTTCCAGAGGAGACACTGAAAACCACCAGGAAGCCCATTCGTACCGATTTGACCGAACACACCTACGCTGCCCAGCCACCACTCTGGATTCATTACAGATTATCCTCAGCTGCTGAAGTCTGCTGAGCCCCTGAGTCTTAGCGTGCAATGAGAAATTAATCCATGTTTTTGCTTGTAGTTTCAGAGTGAGTACACTGTGCACATTCATTCTTTGTTGGCTTGTAAAATGTAGAAAGAATATAGGGAATAATTGTCCATCTGAAACTCTGCACACAGGTTTACCGCTCTGCACTCCGAACTGTCTTTGGAGGTGGTTCTACATTGGATGCTTAATGGCTCTGTTGGTGGCAGGGCCACCGCAACAGCTTGAAGCTAATGAGGGACACAGAGGTGTGCAGTGCAGGCCACCTCTTCTGCAGTCACATCATGGACGTCCCGATCGAGGGAGAGGTACTCAACACACTCAGGACAGATCAGACCAAGATCAATCAAAATAGCATCTGCAATTTATCCTTGTTTACGTGCACGTCCCAGATTCTCCTCAGGGGGACTCAATACAAATCTCTCATCCTACTTAGACCCACACATTCGTGAGTGTGCAGCAACCAGAAATAACTCTGAGCGAAGAACCTGACAGAGAGAATCCAACTTATTTTCAGTCAAGCTGCCTGTCGCTCCGAGATGAAAAGTGACAGTGAGATGTGAATTCAATGGACTTGCATTTCTGTCCGGCTCAAGCGAATACAATGACAGAAGTGGAAATTATGGTATTTTTATTCCCCTTTTGAAGACATCCCAGAGAGGGGGATCTGACCACGCACAGAGCGGAGGAATGAAGGGTGGTGAATTACAATTTGTAAATATCGATTTCCATTAGAATAGAAAGTGTCATTCTCAGGGGGATCAGAGAGTTTCTGCTCGAAGGATAAGTCGCTGAAAGAAACGGATGAACAGTGGTAGTCATCGGCAACAGTCCCCAGTCTTCTCTCTGCTCTGTGTCTTTCTGGAATTAGTGTTGGACTAACTTCCCTGCAGCCCTGTCAGTGCTAAAGTAAATGAAATGTGCATTCAGTAATACCAATCTAAATGTTTCTGGCATTATATTACAATACGGTGTAGAGAGGTGAGAAGATAATTCCCTTTTTGATTTGAGAAAACACACATTGTGTAAAAATAATTATTTAGAGCCTAATGGAGTAGAAAGTACCCATATTTGATGATATATGCAATTGAGTAACAGTGAAAAGTACCTGGAAATAAATCTACTTATGTAAAGTACAGAAACAAAACATTGCACATCTCATAAATGCACACAGGCCGTAGAAAATGCTGTAAAAGTGTAAAGTAACATGAAGTAGAAATACTCAAGTACCTCAAAACTGTAGTTGGAACAGTGATTGGGTAAATGTGCTTAGTTACAAACATATTTTGGATTATTGCCACAAATACATGCATTTTGTCTGTGTAAGTGCAAAAATAAAAAAAATAGGGCAATAAAGAGAAAACCCAAGAACATTCTAAAATGTTGATTAGTGTGGTTGAAATGAAAAACTTCAGATGTTGTCATCCTCCAGGGAACAGATAACATCAAACAGTGATCACTTGTGGTTCTCTCTTATTAAAACCTGTATGTCTTACACGTCTCAGCACTTCAAACATGAGAAAGACTCATAGGGAAGAGACACAGCTTTAATATTCACACTCATATCTCTGTCTTTATGTGTCACTGGAAATATCTTATATAAATGTATGTATGAGCTCCAACAATCACAGGAACCTAACGTAATGTAATTCGTCCCACAGACGGATGTACAATGTCACGGTCGACGACTCTTAATACAGCCACTTAAGATGAATCCCTCTCTGGTGACATTTTGAGTGAGATCACGTTACTTTCATGGTCACTGGCCAAAGCACAGCGTTAGCATTCAGCGCGTGTCCATTCTGCCGCTCTGAATGCAAGGCGCTCCACTCAGGACTGCTACGTGACCACAAACGATGAATACAAACTGTCCCCAGCCGACATAAAAGTGAATGATGGTGTTTCGCACCCTTTCTCCTGCCACAGTGACACTGCTGCAGCTTGTTCTTCAAGTTTGGGCATTTTGGACACACTTTCTCGGAGCGAAGAAATGAAATGTGTGTGAAGTTACAGTGGATGGATAACTCTAACTATTTTTGAAGAAATAAAATGTTTGCAGACTTTGGTTAAAAGCGAAACGTGAGGAACATGTAGGAAAACTAGTTTTCATGGACACCACAAGCTGACCACATCTCTTATATCCACAGATTCTGCAAGGAAAAGATTTCAGACACACACTCACAGAAACATTGTCCCTCACCTTAATTATGACCAGTCTTACCCCTGACCCTACAACCAGGACCTCAGAAATTATGTTTGACCTCATTAAAACCAGGGCTTGGTCCCCATGAGGTGTAATGGTCCTGACAGAGCCAGTGATTATGCTGGAAAAGTTCCTAAAGAGGAAAGAAGTATATATACAATACACACACACACACACATACACACACACAGGTACAGGTATGCAGGAGTTAGCATTAGTTAAAGTAGCACAGTCAGAGTCTCTCCTGTCGTGATCCTCCCGCTGGACCACAGCAGTGATACTGGGCCAACGCTGCAGACACTTCTCTCAATCGTGTCACGTCAAAGTGACAGGAATCGACTCGAGGGGTGTGGCTCTGGAAAAGCTTTGTCAATAGTGTCTTTCTTGACGAGGTGGCAGTGACACTCACGAGGCTTCACTTGAGACTCATAATGATTTTAAATGGATTCTTTGAGGGAGAGATGACTGTTTGACAAATTAGAATCCTCCCTACGTCTCCTTCAGTTGGTCCAATATGCTGCTGTTAGGACTGTAACAAAAACATGGTGGAACAACACCAGTTCTGGCCGCGCTGCATTGGCTCCCTGTTTGTTTTCGTATTGACTTCAAGGAGTTATTGGTGACTTTTAGAGATTTACATAAACCAAGCCCCCTATTTAAACCAAGGATTAACTAACTCCCTGTGAGCCTGTGCTCTGGTTGATTCCAGAGCTGATTGCGGACTAAAGACTATGATGCTCTTGCAGTGCAGGTCTCCAAACTGTGGAAGGACTCACCAGCTGATATTACATCTGTTACTGCTTTTAAATACGCTGTTTGTTCATGTTTTATAAAATCTGTGAAGCTCTTTGTAACTTTGTTTTGAAAATGGTCAAACAAATGATCTTATCAGAGGATAATCCTAAACTTGTTTATTATTATTAATATTATTATTATTATTAATGATAGTAGCTGTAGTATTTTTGTAATCTATTTAATATTATTATTATCATCTATCAATCTATCTATCTATACTCTGGTGCATGACAGCTCCCCCTGGAGGATTCCCTTGACATTACATACTGTATTGGAGGTAAAGTTATTTTTTATTGTTATATTTAACACGTGTTGTTGGAAAATAATCTGTTTTATACATTAAGTTAAGTCAAGTTTGCAGTTCTTAAATTTTACAAGGATAAAACATATATATTTCGGATATATATATTTCCACGAGTTAAGAGAGGATCTTAATATATATTTAATAATATAATCTTTTATTTTCTCTAGCTTTTCAACGTATCATAGAACATTTGTGAATATAATAATAATATTTGATCATTTACGCCTGAATATTTCTTCGTATATTTTTTTTACATGTAGGAACGTTTCATCTCTCGGAGTGTTTCCTGCCGGCGGACCGTATCTGTCGGACGCTGCTCTGCGTCACTTCCTCCCCACGTGAAGCTCTCCGGACATGTGAGCAGGAGAGAAGCTTCACTTCCAGACCTTCATACTCTCCTCTTTATATCCTCCTCTTCATACTCTCCTCTTCATATTCTCCTCTTTATATTCTCACCTTATGATCATCGATCGCAGCAGCATGGAGTCCGCAGAGGAGGAGGAGGAGGAGGTGCTCGGTCAGTCCGAGGAGGAAAACAGCGAATTATCAGACAATGAGGTCAGTTTGTTTTTCACGTGTTGTAAGAGTCTCTGATAAACACAGAAGAGAAGAGACACTGGATGAGAGGATGATGAGTTAATGCTGCTGTAAAATAAACTGAAACCCTTTTAAATAAACGCTGTAGACGTTCCTGTCGGTCACTGTCCTTTTTATTATATCTCATTATTACTCATTTCTTAAACTGTACTGTTGCTTTTTCCTCTTTCGTTTTTAAATGATTCTCTTTCGTATTGTCCTGTGTTGCTTTTACAATTGACCGTGATTGCCTTGTTGTTGAAATGTGCTCCACAAGAAAGAAAGACTTGTATTGCCTTGAACAAATTAGGTGACAAAGTGAATACACAAATATACAAACAAGACAAAACTAATGGAAGAGGAATATAATATAATACAAAATATCTTAAACATCATCAGTTTACAGCAGGTAAAAAACCTGGAATTTCCTTTCCTATTAAAGTAATTCTCGGGTAAAGAGGCAACATTTCGTATGATTAGATGAAACACACGAGTGAAAACATCTCTGGGATTATTTTATATTAAATTTCTGCCGATAGATTCTTTTCACCTAAATCTTACACACTGAACCTTTTAAAAGCTAAAAGAATCTGAAAATCAATCCTAAATGTCGCCGGCAGCCAATGAAGGGAGAAGTTAGAGAGATGTGGACCCTACGCTTGTTGTTGGTTGAAATGAGAGAAGCAGCTTTGTTCTGCACAAGCTGAAGCTCAGACACGGATCAATGTGTGTTGTCTTAATAATTCAAGAAATGACGTCCTTTTTTTTCTTTGTGGCTTTAGTTTAACATCTTGAACCAATGTTTATGTTTCCTTTAGCTTCAAGTAGCCTTTGCTAAAGGGTTGTTGAAACCAGGGATGAACGTTCTGGTGGCTAAACCCAAGAAGATTGTCAACAATACGGTGAGTGAGACGTGAAATGTTCAAATATAAATAATCCGTTTTCTCATTACTGGTTTGACTGAACAGGTTTTAATGAAGTGTTTTGTTCATGTGTTGCGATGCAGGAGGGTTTGAAAGGCTGCCTCGCTGACTTCCGTAAAGAGCTTCCCTGGGCGGAGCGGCTGGATCTGACCAACCCGCCGGCTGAAGACATTATTTCCAAGGCTGAAGGGAAAGTTCCTAATGCGGCCAACGGAGACATCAACGCAGACGACGATTTCCAGAGGGAGATGTTCTTGTAAGTGAACCTGGATGTGGCGTTAGTTGAAAATGTGGATCCATTCTAACAGAATATCAAAAGTCTGAACGAAGCAGTTTCATCAATGAGGCTCATTGGAGCGTTGGACTGTGTCACGTGATCTGTTTCAGGCTCAGATCCTCGTTCACAGACTTCTTGTCCACGTTGAATAGAAAGTTGATAATATAATACACATTGTCTGTTTCCTGGTGCTTCAGTTGTGTTTTATTTATGTTCCATGTTGTCTTCCAGCTAACATAGAAATGCTATCACGTTATTTCTAGCATCTAACATCTCAGTATCAGTTTCCACCTTTCAGTCTATTGTTGCTCTTGAAAATTCAGTCTTAAAACTCTTCTAACAAAGTCTCCATGTTCTTTTTGTTTTAATTTACAGCTACCGTCAAGCTCAAGCTACAGTCCTTGAGGCGTTGCCGCTTTTAAAAAAGCACAACATATTCACCAAGAGGCCGGAGGATTACTTTGCAGAGATGGCCAAGTCGGATCAGCACATGCAGAAGGTGAGCAGCAGTTTCTTCATGTTTTTTATAATACAACAATAATAAAGTTTCGGGTTTAAATTCAAGACTCACAATTAGCTTTATAACTCATAAGAGAAACATCGAAATGACCTGTCAGTAAAATGTGTATATCTTAAACTGAGAGTAGCCAACTAATGACCTACGTTTGAAATGTACTGTAAAGCTTCTACCTTGAAACCAAATATTTCCACAAACATGCAAGTTTCCTCTTCCTCTGTCCAGATCAGGAAAAAGCTCATTTCCAAGCAGATGATAATCGAGAAGTCAGAGAAGGCCAAGAAACTGCGTGAGCAAAGGAAGTTTGGCAAAAAGGTTGGTCCCTGTTTTTAAAGTCACCGTTTCTCTCTCATAAATCTTGAATCCAGTCGTTATTATGTCGAGAAAAGTTTCCTATAATCGAAAACTCACGGCCTGTATTTACACAACATAAATTTTGAATGTGTCAGGTCCAAGTTGAAGTGATCCAGAAGAGGCAGAAAGAGAAGAAGGCCATGATGTCCGCTGTAAAGAAGTACCAGAAAGGTGGGTGATTTAATTCCTCTTCTAAAAATTGTTTATGATTTTCAGTGTGCACAGAAAGTTCAAACGGTTAGTGTGAAATCTTAATGGTTATTTAAACGATCTCCACTTTTCTGAGAACGTTTCACAGTTTGAGGTTTAATGTTTCTGATCACGTTCTCCCCCAGGAATGACCGACAAGCTGGATTTCTTGGAAGGAGACCAGAAGCCCGGTAAAGACGCAGCTCAGGGCGCAAAGAAAGCAATGAACAAGAAGGGGTAAGGTTTCCAATTTCAGGCTGTGCACATCACAATCATAAATATCAAGCTTAATATTTTTAATTCCTGAGGTTTCATAAATGGCTAAAAAAAAAAAAAAAAAATTCTTTAAACAGCCCCAACGCCAAGAGGAAGTTCAAGGACCAAAAGTTTGGCTTTGGGGGCAAGAAGAGTGGAAAGAAGTGGAACACCAAAGAGAGCTTCAACGACGTGTCCAGTTTCCGCGCCAAGGTGGCGAACGCAAAGGCCGGCAAGGGAGGGAAGAAAGGCAAAGTTGGAAAACAAAATGTGAGTCACGCACACGTTCAACACTCCTGAACGATTTACTACATGTAGAAATGTTGTCACTGGAAATAAATCTAACTATTGTCACACTTTGGCTTTCAGAAGCGCCCGGGTAAGGCCGCACGTAAGAAGATGAAGTCTCGTTAGTAAGAAATGTGTTCGGTTGACAGACTGGACTAAGACTTGCTTCGAGGCAGGATTTCTCTCGTGTCTCCTCAGTTCACCTCAGGAGACGTGAAGGGGAAACCTCCTACATCTGTTGTATAATATGTGTTCTGTATAAACGAGTCTGGATTAATATGGAGGACCCTATAAACCGTGTTCGAGACGTCAGAGGAAGCTTCAGAAAACATCCTGCTGGTGAAGAAAGGACGTGATCGGACCGCATCAAGTTTCCCAAAACAAAGTTATTTGCCCACGTTCAGTTTCCAGGATGCTTGTGAAGAATTTTGAATGAGAAGAAATTGTCATAAACAAGTTTTTATCATTTGTGGCCCTTGTTGTGTCTATGTGCTCGTCATGCTGCGTTCACACACGAATTCTGGATATTTCCTGAAATTTTCCACAGGGGCTAAATGTTAGAATGAAAATATCTGAGTCGGTTGCTCTGAAACTTTCTCTGCCAGAGAATATCTGAGTGTGAACACAGCAGAAAAAATCACACGGAGCCGAGCTGTGAAACATTTTAATCCAAATATCTCAGGATCACAAATACACACAGATTTCAACCAGGGTCGTAATCACAACATCAACATTGTATCTCCTGTCGGGAACACGTCTGACTCAGACTCCTGAACAGCTTCTGAAAATACTATCTGGATGTTTATCTAGAGTTGTGTCTGAAAACTGCTTCACTCTGGTTGCACCTCAGTATTTCACCAGTCGTTACTCTACGTTGTCTGGTGGGTTTTGTTTATCTCGAACTCAACTCAACGGTTCTCCCTCATGTGACTTGACATTTTATAATATTGAGCAGCCGTCAGCGTTGCCCTTTCCCATTCATTAATATGAGAAGCATGTGGCTGAGTTAGCTTTGTGTAGACCTGTGCTGGTGTTGAAATGTAAACTGCTGCCACCTCCATGTTTGTGTTGTAAATGAATACATGTGAACGTGTTCACGTCATGAAGATCTCCGTCTGGTAGTCGATGGTTTAATTAGATTTCTTCAGGGCACGTTCTGTGTGTATGGTGACGTCGGTGCTCACTCGGTGGAAGTTGAATCTCTCGTCTTGGCAGCTGGATGGAATCTGTGAAATGAGACAAATAATCAGATTAAGCATTTGACCTGAAGATAGAGGAGTGAGATGACTAATACTTGTGACCATAGAGGAGCTAATGGCTCTGCTGCTCCGTTTGTTGATTTAAAAAATCTGTACAACTTTCTAAACTTAACAGATTTTAAAACTCGTGTTTACAACAGAATGAAAGCTGACGTTTATCATCTTAATCCAGAGTTTGCTCGATGGTGTTCACTTCACCTAAAACTTTACTTCTAACCAGAGAGAAAATGATGTGTGCTTGAGTTCACTGTGGTTTTCTGCAGTTCAGCTGTCAACCCAGTCACAGTCTCTTCTCCTCACCAGTGGATCTGACACCCATCCTATCTCCTGACTCTCCGTCACTGGCATTGAATACTTCTTGGTGGGTTCCAGACGTGCTTTGTGGAAGGCCTCGATGAAGTCAGCTGGAAAAGATGAAGACGTCAAGCACTCGTTGACTCAAAGGGGTATCGAACACGTGAACAGTCTTCATCCAGAATAGAATAGAATCTCTGTGAACTTACAATTCTCTTCAATCAGCTCCGTCTGTTTCCTGGACATGGGTTTGTCTGGCAGGACATGAACTGTAAGAACATCGAGACACAAGCACACGACGCACCAGAGGAATCAGTCGATATTCAAACTGCCTTTCAATTCAACCCTTAACTTAACTGAGTGTATTTGTAAGTTAGGAGCTTTCAACTGTCTCAATCGTTTTGTTCACTTATGCATCACGTGGTGCATTCAAGGGACACTCCAGTGAACAGTATCTGTGGAAGAGCTTGAAGTAAATAGTCACTTTACTGTAGTCTTCTAATTTTGACTACATTTAACTTATTTAAAAGACTAAAACTTGTAA